GTCAAAGTCGTGTTTCAAATTAATGATGATACTCTAATTTTGTACTTATTCAAGGCGTATTCCAAGGAGTATCACGTATTTTTCAGCGTGCATAGTAATATTTTTTTAAATTGCATAGTCATGGTGGACAGCCAAAATTTTAATAGGTTTTTTTTTTATAGAAGAGGGGACAAAAGAACATACAGCTCACCTGATGGTAAGTGACTACCGCCGCCCATGAACAACCGCAACACCAGGAGAACCAGGAGAATTGCAGATGCGTTGCCTGCCTAAGTAGGAAATTAAATTAAATTTTAGACTAGGTAGCTCTTAAAACTATGTTTCTCTTTGTCTATGGATTCAAAATCTATGAAGTTTTAGCGAAAACAACCTAGAAGAACGTTAATTTTAAGATAATAATGTTTAAATCACCGAACACCAAATCTCTCCAGGTCAGGCTTTAAACTCTAAAGGCAAACACATATTTCTATGGAAATTTTAGGGGTAAATCTTAAATCTATATGTACGTATTCCATTTTCTTCAAACCAAATGTTTAACAATTTTTTTGCGATGTTACATAATTACAGTTTATTTATTTATTTGGTTCATCAACATATGTTACAATTTTTTACATATTATGTTTATTTTTTAAGTATTATATTAATGTGTTCATTATCTTATTTCGTTACTTTAATTTAAAATCGTAACACCAAAGCCAGAACGCGTTGATATTACGTTAACAACAACACTACAATTACTCCTAAGATTTTTTCCTTTTCTGTCCGGTTGAACTTGTTTGAATGGAGTTTTATTTAAAACTCAAGCGAATTGTTTATTTATTATAAAATACCTGACATCATATTTTAAGAAGGTATAAAAGAAACAATTTAGTATTAAAATTTAATGCGAAATCGATGATGTAGTTTTTTTTATTGCTTGCCTACATTTTTTACACATAGCCTACAGTTACACATGTGTCAATTCTGTATAAAATTTTGTTAATGCAACAGTTAAGCATGAACCTTCAAAAATTGTTTCAACAAAAAAAAAAACTCACAGCGTATGTGGCTTAATTTACATATTTGTAGCACTGATCTTGGAAGAACCATTGCATTAAATGACGCAAAACGCTAGTGTTTCGTTTATCTTTCTCATATTCCAGACTCATTTGATTAGAAAAAAGAATTTTCTTTACAAAAAGAACCAACGTGTTATGAGCAATGTACTTAAAATATTAAATGAGCATAGTAAACGCGTCGTAGAGGCGTAAAAAAATCCATTACAAAGACCGTGTAATGGCGGAGTAAGTGTATTCACTACTAGAAATATTTTCCGTTTCGTAAGTGGCGAAAGATGGAAACTGAAACAGGAGATGGGCAAGAGTATCTTACTGATACCTAACAACAAAAATAATAAAAAACTGCGGTTGCCAACGGTGACAATAATTTCAAATATACTTTCTATGAGGGTAGAACGATGTTCAGCATTGAACTTTTAATAGACTGTAATATTAATAACAAGAATATAACTTAGAAAATCATTATGCTAATATCAAAACAACAAACACTTTGGCGTGTTGTTGGAAAATGCATGTTATTTAACTTTCGTATTATAAACATACCGTACATTAAATTGATTTCTAACTACATTAAAACTTTCCACTTCCATCGTAAACTACAAATAAAACTGCCAGTAACGTGTACATAGAAGAGTTAGACGTAAACTACTATCACGAATATTATGAGATATGTGTACTAATAAAGTATTTATATAATAAGTGCTTATATTAAGTTATATAGAATTGGAGTACATAATAGCTTGTATAATATGAACGTTCTTCTACTTGTCCAGTGAAATGTACATAAAGAAAACTCTTTATTTTTCGACGTAAGAAATTAAAATTTTGTTTTTGTTTGTCAAACGTCAACATGTTTTTCAACAGACTTCAAAAAAAGAGGAGGTTCAAAATTAATCTCTATTTTTCTTATGTATTACCGCAGTACTTGTTTCTAGGTGAACCGATCTTGATGATTCTTTTTTTTATTTGAAAGCTGGAACTTGTCATATAGTCCCTTATAAATCTGATCACGATCTGACATTTTTATTATTGAATAAGAATGAGATCTGTCATTCTTATTCAATAATAAAAATATTTTAGCAACGTGCTCCTCATTTGTAGTAAATTAAAAGGAACAATACCTGGACCATATCTGTTAAACTCATAGAAAGTAAGTTGTGAAAGGTCTAAATTATCACTACCAAGAATATTCAAAAAAATTTTATTTATTATATCAGGATCATCACAATGATCTAGTAAATTTATCTATGCCTCTTCCTTAGTAATAATATTATATTTTGTACTTTTCCCTTAAGCTCTAGGATTACTTAAGTTTTTATTTATAGACGTTTCAAAATACACTGTCTTTTCAAAATAAATAGCATTACTTACAAGCTTTTTAAAAAATCTAATGGTGTAATTTATCTAATCGTTTGTCACTAATATTAAAATTATTACTAAGCACGTAATATGGCGATGGTAGTTTGTAATATTAATGGTTAAACGGATAAATTGATCGCAACTTCGTTCGCATTTAATATTTCGCAACCTTTGTTTTAAAGTTCAGTAAATTTGTATAATGCACTCGGATTAAATCTTAATTATTTTGGGTTCAATTTTAATTTAATAAACCACATAATTGATTTTAGCCACATAGTAATATCTATAAAATTTTCAATGTTGTTGGGAATGAGGGTAAAATATAAAAGGAAATACGAACACTTGAAGGCATAACTGTCCATCTTTACGTCTTCAAGGCAAAAGTGAAAAATCTTTTGTTACTGTAAGACACGATTTACCATCTAGGGTTTCATCATCACTTATCACCAGGTGGGATTGTGGTAAAGCACTGGCTTATAATAAGTAAATAAAACAGTCCGATAATGTGTATCGGTCTGGTATAAATTCACCTGCTAGAGACATGACATTTTTATTTATGATTTTTTACACATGATGCAATAAATAAGATGGAAGCTTACATGACGGAATATATATACAGGGTGTTTTTGGAACGCTTCCGAAAACTAAGACAGGCGACAACACCAAGTATACCTTTGATCATGGGTCACAAATAAATTCGATCCTGATGAAAAAAAAATCATCTTTTTACAAGGTTTTATTAGCTTTATTCACGCGCCATCATGTTAGTACAGCTAAATGAAACGATAATTTCATAAAAAATATCATGAAAATACTGAAACATAAAACCAGCAGTGGAATGACTGAATTGATATCACCTGACCTGAACTAGATAAAGGTCAATGTACGCGCGAACACAAATTCGCGCGGCCCGCAACTAGCGGGCCATCCCACAATCTAATAATTTACAACACGTGTCTAAATACCTAACTTATCTACTTAACCTACTATTTTGCCACTGTGCTTATCTCCACGTAGCCACTTTAATCCGAATTTACAGGTTAAATAACCCAAATAACTGGTTCGATTCCCCGCTAATGAAGAAATACTTAAATGAAATGTAACCAAGGTTGGAGTCATGCGTTTTTATTCATCGTGTAGGTATGTTTATTATTCTCATGTATTCAGTTATGTACCTATTCAGATTAGTCTAGTACTAAGTTATTTAAAAAAAAATAGTTATGAAACAGCTTACTGCTCTAAATCCTCCGTAGTCTTATGAGATGCGGCTCAAATTGTGCTCCATTCATTTCAAGGCAGATTTGGGTGTAGGCGGGGCATCATCGTGTGGTCTTCGACACAGTCCGTACGTAGTTTCTCGAAAGCATCCACGATCCTTTGGCGCATTTCTTCAGCACTATCACATTCACGATTAAAAACCCTTTCTTTCACATACCCCACAAAAAGAAGTCTAACGGAGTCAGATCTGGTGAGCGAGGTGGGCAAGCGTGTGGTCCTAGTCTGCCGATCCAGCGATCATCAAATAGCTCATTGAGGCGCTCACGGACGAACCTCACGAAATGTGGAGGGGCACCATCATGTTGGAACTATATTCAGCCAACGATAGGTCGTTTAAAATGTCAACCAACTGTTCATTTATAAAGTTTAGGTATCGCTGTCCGTTCAGTCGCTCTGGCAGAAACACTGGTCCCAGTATGCGATCCTTAAATAAACCTGCCCATACGTTAACCGACCATCGGGTTTGGTGCCCGGTTTGTCGAACAGCGTGCGGGTTAACCTCTGAATACACGTGTGTATTTCTTCGGTTCCACAGGCCGTTTCTGGTAAATGTCGACTCATCCGTCCAGATAATGTGCTCAATGGAACCAGGCACACGTTGTTGCTGGTATAATAACCAACGGCAGAAAACTCGTCGGCGGTCGTGATCGCCGGGAACTAAAGCTTGCACTTTGTGCAATTTGTATGGGCGCATTGGTTACGCTTCAACACTTTGTGCACTGCACAGTATGACACACTTCCATCCCGACGTCTTAACAATTTATTTAGCGATACTTCGTGTACCTAGGTTCGGATACCTAACATGTTGACCACTATAAACGTACGCGTTAGGCATTATTAAAACAAAAAAGAATCCAAAAACGTAACAAAAACTTTAATATCAACACGTAATCACAAGTAAATTTATTAAACAAAACGATTGAACTGTCGCTCGCGTACGCGTGTACAAAATCAACACGGAACTGTCTCAAAAACTAAAACGAACGAACCCCGTCAAGGCTGAAACCTTTTTTTTTTTTTTTTTTTTTTTTTTACGTGGGGAAATCCTCATGGATACCTTCCGCTACGGGGGCAACGAAAAGGTTATGCCGGACTCATACCGGCTAAAACCCCACGGTGGTCACCATCAGCGTATACGAGGGGTCCCGGGATCTCCGTTCGGAACGCAACCGGGGCCCCTCCGTCGCTTTGCTACACCTATAGCACGTCCCGGGGACAGTAATTGCTGCCCCCAGCACCCTCGCAGTGCTATCACGATGTCTCGAGACCACTTCCGAGTCATCGTCCTCCTCAGGGGTTACATAGCTAGACGCTCGAGGCCCCCGCCCCGAGCGTCTGCAACCCCGGAGGCCCCGTTTCTGGTAGGGGAACACCGTTTTCAATAGGAGGGCCGTGACGAACGCCTTGGCGACGTCGTCTCCGTGCGGGATCCGCCCTCTCCCGATCCCGCTCAGAAGCCTCCTTCTGAGTCATAACAGATTCACAGAAGGTGGCTACGGCCCTCCACGCCGAATCCCCGCTCAGCATCGCCGACACGACTGCTGGCAGGGAGAGGTCCCGTCCAATGCGGTTCACCAGGATTGTCCGCTCCCGTTCCCACGCTGGGCATACTGCGAGCGTATGAGAAGCGGAGTCCTGGTCCTGTCCATCACAGTGGAAGCAGTTCGCCGTCGCCTCGCGTCCGATCTTACACAGATAATCACCGAAGCACCCATGCCCGGTAATTATCTGTGTAAGTCTGTAGGTGAGTCTTCCTACTCGTCGCTGCATCCAGGCATCGAAGACCGGCAGGATTGCTCCAATGACGCGTTTGTATTCATAGCGCTCCTCGAGTCGAGTGCGCCATGTCGCTAGGGCGTTTTGTCGTTCCTGCCGTTTAACTGATTCGAGCGCCTCTTCTGGCTCGCTACCACCGCTCTGGCGGAGGGCACGGATTCGGTCGTACACCCTCGCATCCATCTCCGCCAGTATATCTAGTGGTGGAAAGCGAGCCAGGATTGTCGCCGCCTCAAAGGATATGGTGCGGTATCCTCGTACGATCCGTATGGCCATCCTCCGCTGGACACTGTAAATTTTAGTTCTACAGCGTCGGATGGCCAGCCTTTTTGCCCATACAGGCGCTCCATACAGAGCTACGGACCGTATAACTCCTGCATAGAGGCGACGTACTTCCTCCGTCGGTCCCCCTAGATTGGGCAGCAGTCTATGCATAGCACCCGCCACCCTTTCGATCCGGGGGACTAGGCGCTCGAAATGTTCTTCGAAGCCCCAGCGACTGTCAAGGTGGAGGCCTAGGTACTTCATGTACCTCCCCACTCTGACTTCGGACCCACCCACGCGGACGCACGAGTTGGGTGGTTCCCTGCCCCGTGGTAATTTATGGAACCATAGGGCCTCGGTCTTGTGAGGCGCTATTTCTAGACCCAACTCGTGGATTTTGGCGACGACGACTTCCACCCCAAGTTCGGCGAGCTCCTTGGTCCTCTCGAAAGTTATCCCGCTGGCAATCACCAAGGTGTCGTCGGCATAGCACACGATATTTACGCCAGCGGGAAGGTCGACTCGCAGAACCGCATCGTACGCGAGGTTCCACAGTAGTGGTCCCAGCACCGAGCCCTGTGGAACCCCACGTCTGATCTCCCTCCGAATCTTTCTACCATCTTTCGCCATGTACACAATGTACCTGTCGCGCAAGTAGTCCCCAATAATACCATGCAGGTAGGGGGGCACTTGATGATGTGCCAGTGCCCTTCTGATTGCGTCCCAGGGTAGAGAGTTAAAGGCGTTGACGATATCAAGACTTATCGCCAACGCCACGCCACCCCGTGATACTGTTTGTTCCGACAGGGAGCGGACGCGCATAATCGCATCTACAGTGGAACGCTCCCGTCGGAATCCAAACTGGCTGTCAGCCAAATCGGGACCGACGCGCGACAGATGCCCGCTGAGCCGAGTGGCAACTATCCTCTCGAACAATTTGCCAATCTCGTCCAGCAGGCATATGGGTCGGTACGCAGAGGGAGAATCTGCAGCCCTGCCGTCCTTCTTCAAGAGAACCAGCCTTGCCTCTTTCCAGGCTGTGGGGAATTTGGCACACCGCAGACAGCTGGTAAACAGTTGCCTGAGCCTGTTCCCCAGAGCAGCCAGACTCAGCACTAGGGCCCGGCCCGGGATTCCGTCGGGACCCGGTGCTGTGTTCCGGACTTTTAGGCGGCTAATGGCTCGGTCCAGCTCCTCAACGGTCACCCCCATCTCCTCTTGCCACTCCCATGAAGACGGCAGGTGACCTTCGGGACTTGACCGGTCCTCTGGAAAGAGCGTGCTGATTACCCTTTCCAGAAGATCCGGGTCGAGAATCTCCGTCAGAGGGGGCGACCAGGGCCGGAGCTTACCCAGCACCATCCTGTATGGGCGCCCCCAGGGATCTTTGTTGAGTCCCTCCAGAAGCTCTTTCCAGGACCGAGACCTGGCGTTGGTGATGGCGATTTGCAACGCCTTTGTAGCCGCTCGGTATGCCCCGTAGAGTCTGGCTATCTCTTCAGGCGGAGCTCGCCGTCTTCTCCTGCGGGCTCTAGTGTACTGGCGCCGACACCGTAAGCAGATTGCACGGAGCCGTGCGATTTCTGCTGACCACCAGTACGCTGCTTTGCGCTTAGGGCGACTGATTCTGGGCATCGACAGGTCGCAAATTTGCGCCATCGTACCTCGAAACCAGTTCGCTTCCCCTTCAGGATCGGACTGGACCTCTTCGGCGTTTTCTGGCCAGGACGCGACGATGGCGGCGGCTTCGAGCTTATCTTGATCGAGCCGCTTGAGACACCAACGTCGCGGTGGGCTGCTATCTCGGCGACTAGGATTACTGTCGGGCTGTCGAAGTGCGACATTGAATACGATGTGGCGGTGGTCAGACAAGGTGACCACCTCCTCCGCCACTCGCCAGCCCGACAGCATTTGCATTGCAGGAGGAGTTGCCCACGTAAGATCCACGATGGACTCCCCCTGCCACCGTACACATGTGCTTACGGACCCCTGATTCATCAATCGGAGGTCCAGTCCAGCCGCCCATACCATCACTGTCTCTCCCTTGGGATCGTCTCTAGAGTTGCCCCAAGCCCTTGTGTGGGCATTAAAATCTCCCAGAGCGATCAACGGACGAGGTTGACATTCGCGAATACAATTCGCCACCTCGTCTAGGTACGCCTCGTAGTCGGCAAGGGACCTATTAGGAGAGACATAGCAGCCCACTATGGCCAAGGGGCCCCATTGCACTGCAACAAAGCCCTGCCCTCTTCTCAATAGAGCGCAGGGTGGGGCACCCTCTCCACCACTCCAGTAGATGGCGACGGAGCCTGATTCGTCACCGAACCAGCGAGGATGGTCGGGGACGGCATAGGGCTCTGCTACTACTGCAAGGGCAACCCGCCACTCCGCAATGGTTTGCATGAGCAAATGCTGCGCATTACGGCAGTGGTTCAGGTTGCCCTGGAGGACTTTAAGGGGTGCGAATTTCTAACTCAGCCACCTCCATAGCCGAGCTAGTACTCGGAGCAGCGACAGAAGTCGTTGTGGCCGCCTTGCTGGTGGGTGCAGAGATCTCACCATTCTTCCTTCCCTTTTTTTTGGGAGGAGGCATACACTTCTTCCCTAATCTGTGGCCAGCAGAATGCCCAAGATCGGAACAGAGGGGACTGAAACCTACTGCGTCACAAGCGTGAGGCGACAGGGTTAGGCATTCTGCCGTCATAATAAAAAAGGAAGTAACTAACAAAAACGTAAAATGGAAATAAAAAATAAATTGATGAATTTTTCTTTCAGACCCCGTGTCTAAAGTATATTAAAAGGTATCTATATTGAAATATATACGTAGAGACATGAAGATTTTAAGGACGAACTTATTTTTTTTTTAAATTTGTTTATTTATTTAAATAAAACGAATTTTACTTTTCATCTTAGATTAAAAAAGTACACCTGGCAACACAAAAACATCGAAGGAAAGACGCATATAACTATTTGGGTCTTCCCAACCTAATAAATAAAACAAAACTACCATTCATTTAACATTTTTACATATTTTGGAAAGGTCATTTGAAGTTGAAAGGACGCTAATAGTAATTTACTACTTTTTTCTTAGTAAATATTAGAAAAGCATTGGTAGTGAGACACAAAAAATAACAACCCGCAACTCTTGAGTAATGATTTTAAAGGGGATATCATACAAGACTTACTACGATAATAATTAAAAATTAAAACATTTGTACAACCGACTTTAAAATAAATAATTAAGGATAACTCAAAAACTATTGGTCTGACCTCGATCAAATTTATATGGGACCACATGTGAAACACCAGCTCTTAATAATAAGATATGAGCTCTTAATAATAAGATATAAAATAATAAGACAAGAATAATTTAAATTTAAGTAATCGATGCAAATATTGTTAAAGATGACGTAGCAACTGGTTAAATAAGTCTTTTCTTTTATGTTGAATTTGTATAAGTCTTTGCTACAATAAAATGTCATCTGTGATCAACAGCTACGTATAAAATTCTGACGATAATTTCTAAAATATTGATATTAGTGAATATTAAAAAAAATTAGTAGATGCGTCTTCTTATCATGAGTCGAATGGTAATTTATTCGAAAATTGTTAGATGCGCCCTTTTTTCTTATGACCGTAGCATTGTTTCATACCGAGCTAGATACAGGTCGACATCGGAGTGAGTGTGGGTGCAGTCGCGTTCTAAAGTACTACATGGTATTGGGCTATTGTTTTATAATATTATAGTAATTAATTGTTTTATTGTAGAATCATAATAGGTGTTTTACTAGCTACTTAGAACTTTGGAAGAGGTGGGAATTAAAAATAGATAATGTTTACTTGAACATTGTTTGTTATTTCTATCGTAAAATATAAAGTAGTTTGTAACAAAACAACTTAAGCTAAGGGTGACACGCCGTCCATTATGACGTCTTGGGTCACATGGAAGCCAGATGTTGATGGTGTGTTGGTGTTACTGGATGCTACTTCATCATCACTTTCATCTTCGCTTGAGCTACCGTCATCAGGTCGATCACATGGTAATTTTTTCGGTATTCTTCCGCAACAATTTTAACTTTACTGCACAATTTTCCCCATTCACCTTCTCCTATCATATTTACCTTTTCGTTCACTAGTTTAGTCATAAAACAATAGATATAAATATTTTTTTTTCCTTCCTTTTTAAAACATCGTCGCGAGTCGCAAAGTAAGCTGTGTATGCGACTGTATTTTTGGAGTGAACAAAGCGCGGGAACCAATAGCATGCAGGCACAGTAATACTGGCCAATATGTGATAAATCGCTCAGTGCCCAAGTTCAAGGCCAGCGTTCTTTTTTCACCGTTCGCGCGTACATTAACCTCCATTAGTCAGGTGATATCAATTCAGTTTCCACTGCTGGTTTTATGTTTCAGTATTTTCATGATTTTTTTTATGAAATTATCGTTTCATTTAGCTGTACTAACATGATGGCGCGTGAATAAAGCTAATAAAACGTTGTAAAAATATGTTTTTTTTTCATCAGGATCAAATTTATTTATGACCCATGATCAAAGGTATACTTGGTGCTGTCGCCTGTCTTAGTTTTCGGGAGCGTTCCAAAAATACCCTGTATATATATATATATATATATATATATATATATATATATATATATATATATATATATATATATATTCCGTCATGTAAGCTGAATGTCTTATATATTGCACATTATATTTTAAAAATTTGTCTTAATTATTTAAATATAATATTAAAATATTTGTATAAATAAGGAATACGTACGTAAAAACTAAATGTAAAAAAAAACAAATATCACTGTTTGCCACTTTAAATTTGTATCCCTCTATAGAAATAAATACTAAATATACACAACATTTAATTTATATGTACAATAAAAGGAGGATGAATGGAAAAGCTTTTTGAAAAAGGTAGGTACTGACAATGAGGCGTGACATCGTCCCAGCTGATCCCGACAAAACGTAACCGTAGCGCGCAAATCTTCAGACTTTGCTTCGTAAACACTGTACAGAAAAACGGTTGTATGTTATCATCCAAGTGTTTAATATTGATCTATACTAATATAATAAAGGTAAGTATAATATACTATAATAATATAATAAGCTGGTCGTTGTTGCTGGTGATAAGAGGGCTGGTTCTTTTCTCGCTCAAAGGCTAAGTATAGCCATTCAGCGGGGAAACGCAGCCAGCGTTCTTGGCATGATACCGCGGGTAGTAGGACTATATGATAATTAAGTTTCTAGTTTTAGTTTTTTTTTTCTTATTATTATAGTTTTTAATAATGTATATAATTTAAATTAAAAGATTATAAGTTAAAGCGGAAGATTTTTTTGGTGTTTTTTTTGTTTGTTCAAACACGCTAATCTCTGGAACTAGTTGTCATATTATAGCCAGATTCATGAAGAATAGTTATATAACGCTATCACACCAAGTCCTAAATATTGCTTATTTTCTACCAACTTTAAAAAGGAGACGGTACTCAATTCGATTGTATGTTTTTTTTCTTTTTTTTATGTGTGTTACTGTGTGTGTGATTCTTTTTTAACCGACGAAAAAACGGAGGTTCTCAAGTCGACGTGTATATTTTTTTTATGTATGACCACGCATAACTTTTTACAGAGTAGTCCGATTTTGATATTTTTTATTGAATAGGGTATACCTCGAAATTGGTCGCATATAAATTTGGAAACAAAATGTCTACCCTAAGGGTGGGAAAATAGGGTTGATTTATTTTTTACTCACAGATTTTAATTCTGAGTGGTGTATTACTACATTACATAATAATTACACTACATTACATTACATTACAAAAAACCTCACGATGAATGAGCTTTAGAGCTGTCAGTCTCTTGTGTGTAGACCTCTCAGTCTCTGCATTTCTGCTAAAGCTCGTTCTTTGGCTCTAAATCAGAAATAGCAATACCCTCAAGTGTTTCTACTCTACTCAGTGCCACATATGACTGTTCTTTGGCAAACACTTTCTTTCCGAGGTCGTCATCATCATCATCATCATCATTACAGCCCTTCACAAGTCCACTGCTGAACATAGGCCTCCTCCAAGGAATGCCACAAAGCACGGTCCTGAGCCACCTGCATCCATCGACTTCCTGAATTCTTACCAGGTCGTCACTCCATCTAGTGGGGGGACGCCCAACACTTCGCCTGCTAGTACGAGGCTGTCACTCGAGAACCTTTTTTCCCCATCGGTTGTTGGTTCTTCGAGCTATATGGCCGGCCCATTGCCACTTCAGCTTACTAATCCGTTGGGCTATGTCGGTCACTCTGGTTCTACTGCGGATATCCTCATTTCTGAGTTTATCACGCAGAGAAACTCCGAGCATAGCCCTTTCCATAGCTCGCTGAACGACCTTGAGCTTCCTCATTGTGCCGTAATTTTCCGGACGCTGCCCAACCGAGTTGAATCCGTCGATTGACCTCTCGGTCAAAGTTGGACTTACCTAGTCGGACTATTTGTCCCAGGTAACCAACCCAACAACTACCGGCATAGGTGTGACATGAACATTAAACATGATCTTTGTTTTGTCCATGTTCATCCTAAGACCTATTCGTTGGGAGACACTATTGATGTCATTGAACATGGTGCTTAGGTCCTCCAGCGATTCTACCATAAGGACTATATCGTCGGCAAATCGAAGGTGAGTGATGTACTCGCCATTGATGTTGATACCGTATCCTTTCCAGTCCAGAAGCTTGAAAACGTCTTCCAATGCAGCGGTGAAGAATTTCGAGGATTTGACGTCACCCTGTCTTACATCTCTCTGCAATTGGATAGGTTTCGTACTCTGGTTCTGTATTCGGATAGCCATTGTAGCCCTACTGTACAAGCACTTCAGCACTTCGATATACCGACAGTCAACTTGGCACCGCTGAAGTGACTGCAGCACGCCCAAATTTCGACGGAATCAAAGGCTTTCTCATAGTCCATATACGCCAGACATAGTGGCAAATTGTACTCCTCTGACTTCTGTACAATTTGCCGAAGGGTATGTATGTGGTCTATCGTGCTAAAGCCTTTTCGAAAACCGGCTTGTTCGGGAGGCTGGAAGTCGTCAAGTCTGCGCGCGAGACGATTCGTAATGACTCTCGAAAACAGCACGTAAAGGCGGCTCAGAAGCGAAATCGGTCTGTAGTTCTTCAAGAGAGCGTTGTCGCCTTTCTTGAAGAACAAGACCACCGCACTTCTGCTTCACGCCTCCGGTGTAATGCCACCACGGAGGACGGAATAAATATAAGACAAGAAAATAAAGAGCTTCTGAAGGACTTCAAGTACCGGTAAAAGCTCAGTTGCAGCTAAATATTCGATATGTGCTTCTTCGGAATTGGTGTTAGCCCGAGCCGCAATACAGTCTCTATAATATTTATC